CAATCATTATGATTAGATTTATTTGGCGATTTTTCCTATGTATCAAATGAACTTTAGATTAAAGATTGTAGAACTTGATATAAAGATTTTCGATTAATTAAAACTATATTGTTTTTTGTTTGTCTCTTCGTCAGATATTTATTGATTGATACCTTAACTGTTTAACATTATTTATGATAGAAAAGTATGATGAGTTGTTACAATTAAATATTATTTTAAATATATTATGATAATTATTTTTTATAGTTTGCAAAATGATTGTCTTATGTATTGATACAATTTTCTGGTTTAACTTTATACGAAAATAACTAGTATTTCTTAGAAATAATTAATTGTTTAAATTTACAATCACTTTTTTCTAATTACGTTTTTTCCTATAATTACAATATATCTAAATAAAAATCGTGTTGTCAACTTATGCCATCTATTGACGTTGTATATATGTGGATAAACACTAAAGTGCAATCAATCCTGTTTATATTTAACATGACATGACAATTTTACGTAACTCATATGTTTTTTCATAAATTTTGCGTGTGATTTTCATTTTTTTTTTAATATTTTTACGATACATGAAAATAGACAGATATTGAAGATATATATTTGTGAGATGTGACATTTAAGATAACATCCAAAAGAAACAACCTCCGATGAATATCAATAATAACTAAATGGTAAATTGTCAAGCCTTAAAGAATGTTAACAAATTCATTTTTTATATTAACAATGTAAAAAAGAACAGCGACTAAATCTAGTACAAGATTAAAATCAATAATAATAGATGGACAACAATGACTTGCAGTGAATTAATCAGCGAGTAGCTGTTATTTTTTTCTAACCTTAATTAACAAAGAGTAAAAATAAATTTGATATATATATATATCACACCTTTGTACTAAAGATACATATCGAATGCAATTTATTTTCGATAAAAGTCTTACATGTTACTCTGTAAATGTATGTCAGCGTACAATCTAAGATTTGAGTTTGAACGAGTTCAAAATTGAAACGAGTAAAAATCTGAAATCTATGTTGGATTTTGAAGTTTTAGGTGTTTTTTGATAAACTACAACGTAATGATAATATTTCGTTAGTGCATAGACGATTGATTATGAAAATTTCATTTAAATAGTTATAAAAGACAAATCTCTGTTGAATTTACATTTACACATAAAAGTTGTTCAATCGAACTTTGACTTTTGAACAGAGTATTATAGAAGTAAATGCCATCAATTGGTTGTAGCTTATGAATAAAAAGTTCTGAATTCAGAAAAGATTTGAGAAGTGTTGATTTCAAGTTTTTGTTCGATTTCAGTTTTGAACATGTTTAAACTCGAATCTTAGATTGGACATTGATATATACATATATATCTTTCAAGATTTTCTGCCTTTAGATATTGTAAATATAGAAAATCAAAACAAAAAAATGAAACCAAAACATTCTTTACACTTGCTGTCTCAAGTATAATTGTTTATAACTGTAACTTAGCTTTGATCTTTTTTGAGAGTTATTCTAGAGACAAGTACATTGATTATTCGTTTGAAATAGTCTTTTGTTCATAAAAAAATTTGTATCTTTTGATAATGTTATTTAATAGTTTGCCAAAAATATGTTGATTTTTATAACTACATAATTTTGAGTCTGTATATTTTTAGATCAACAATTCATTTTAGATATAAAATAATGGTATTAAAAAAATGATGAAATCCATCAAATTATTTTAGTTAATTAATGTTTTTTAAGGTAATTCTTATTATTTTCTATAATTGAGTATTGCCTTACGTTTCTTTCATTGAGATTAAAAATTTATATGTATGATGACATCATATGATGTTCGGTTTATTCATTGATTCTAACGTACAATGCTCCTATTAGATCATAGTTTTGCCAAATATAATAGCATGAATACACTCAATTTGATTGTCTATTATGGTTAGAATCGTTTCAAGTAATGGTCAATATTGAATAGAGAGAGAGAGAGAATAAGTTTATTAAAAAAAAAAGAGATTGTGTCCTTGACTCGACCCACATATAACCACATGGTGTCGACATTTGTTCACTCTCATTTTCTCTTTTCATTCTTCTTTTGTATCGAAGAGTAATCAACACCGACAGGCTGCTGTTCTACCCCGTTCTTCTTTTAACTTATGAAAGGCCATTGGTGTTCAATCCAATATCCGCACCAGTGAGTTTATATTCACATAGATTACATAATTACTTCACTTCTGTCTTTCTTCTCTTATTTCGCCTAATGCGTAAATGTATTTGTGTTTGTTGAGTTGGCCTTCGCATCTGTGTGTCAACGTCGGCCGAGTAGATCCGTGAAGAAAAAGGAAAAACCAAGGAAAAAAATGTTCCACTCGTCCGCTACCGCTTAGATGCTCAGTGCGTTCAAGTCACTGGGCGGCTGGTGAAGTATATTTGTGTGTGCGTGTGTTGCCGCCCGACATTGAAGACCAAAAAGTATTAGATGAGGTAAAGAAAAGAAAGGAGAGAAAACCGAGACAGACATGCAAAACAAAGACTATAGAAGGTGTCCCAGCCGTGCACGTGCGTTATATTCGCTCTTGATCTTTCTCTTTATTTTCCTTTGCTTGTGTTGGTCGAGTCTTTCCCTTTTCTCTCCCCTCCGGCTCATGTTGACTTAATCTACGCGGATTACTTCATCATTACCATCGACCATCCGCATGTTGAAAGCAATAGAGAGAGAGAGAGAGAGAGAGAAAGCTAGAAGAAAAAGAGTACGAGTTGCACACACAAAAGGCCAAGTAGATCGGGCAACAAGGATAATCAAAGAATGAGTAGAACAAGAGCACGATTTCTCCTTCATCATCGTCATCATGGTCGTTGAAAACATTTACTGATTCTTTTTTAACAACCATTAGGTGTTCTTTATGGAGAACCGTACAGATAGATTCTTATTTTTTTTTCTTACAATTATACTGCAATAGGTCATTTTCGACCTTGAGAGATTTTTTTTTATAAATACTTTCATAAAGAAAAATGAGTGTGACAGGTATGTCTATGTATGTATATCTATATATCTATATACGTATATATAGATATATACGCATGACGTATAAAGCATATCGATATAATACGTATTCGGCACGATTTAGGTGGACGTGTTGTATGCTCGTAGAATTCCGATGATCAGGATGAAGAAAAATAAGTTGTTGTTTTATCGTGTGCCGTCATTGATGGTCTTTTTACAGAGAAAAAAAAAGGAAGAATAAGGAAAAAAAACGAGGCATAGGCAAGAAGAGTAAGCAACGCCGAGTGGCTGGACAAACCAGATGTTGCGTGCTACGTAAAAGAGAGCGAGCGAGAAATGCAATGCGATGAAGGAAGAATAGAAGAGAACGTCGTCATCATCATCAACTAACACTCCAATGACGGCCAACGGTAAAGCGTCAAATATGCGTCCGTTTGATTCGTAATGCATTTTTTTGCGTTCTATTCATCCTTGTGAAGTACTGTCCTTTTTGCTCTCTCTCGCGCGCGCGTGCTTGCTCGCCCCTCACTTTGCCTTCGCCTGTTCGTTACTCTCGACTTGCACTTCGTCTCTCTCTCTCCCTCTCTCTACACACAAGCGCACGATCATTGCACAAGGACACAGCAAAAAGAAAGAAGAGGACAGAAGAGAGAGAGAAGAGCGTCGTCATTAACGGTCATTTCACCCACTAACATACACATACATACTGCGTTGACAACGAAGACAACGATTACACCATTCGAATACATGTGCGCCGAGTACGTAATGCATATATATATTTCTAGAAGTCATATCAACATCTGACCCTTCAATATCGATATATACATGTAAAATATCTCATCTAAAATGTTTTAATATATTTATTCTATTTTGTTTGAATGTTGAAATATATTGAAATTGAATTCAATTGATATTTAATGAAAATAATATTATTAATTTTCGAAGTAAGATACGATCTAACCCGTTCAAATATCATTTTACTAGTGTTTTTTAGCAAAATAATAAATGAGTATGTGAGAAAAAGAAAAAAAAAGAATAGATGGAAGAGAGGATTCCGACCGGAAGGTTAGCTCGCCTGCGGACTCTCGTTTCATCAACGAATAGCTATTATAATGGATGATGATAATAGTGTTGGGTTGAATACCAACGCCCGAGCGATTTCTTTCTTTCTCACACTCTCCTTCTCTTTTCCTTCATTCTTTTTTTGTTCCTTTCCTCATCGTCCCTTTTCTCCTTCTATTTTATTTCCATATGGCGGACACGCAAGTCCAAGACGGGAGACGATAATGTCGATGTCGACGGCGGGCGAGAACGAGGCAGAGTGAGAGAACGCAAGTAAAAGATGATTGCATGTCTAATTTACGTCATGGCGACTAAGACTATATAGCATTCATTCTCGTCCTTTCTCTCTTTTCTTCTCACAACTATCATCTAATCCAATGCGAAGGACAAGGCTATTTCTTTTATGCGTGCGCATATTGTGTGTATGTGTGTGTGAGAGAGACAGAGAGTAAGACAGAACATTTATTCTCTTACCCATTATCTAAAACATTGAACTTGTAGCTTTCTCATTTTCTTTTTGTCTTTAGTCTACTTGCATTCTATTACTTGTTAACATAAAATAATATTGCGCGCAATACAAGACAATTCGATAGGAGACAATCGAATTTGTTTTTGTGTGACACAAAAACATACACCTCTTTTTTTTTCTCTTTCGCTGTCTTTCTCATTCAACTCTTCTCCTTTCTTTGTTGCTCTTATTGATGTTGTTGTCATCGTTGTTGTTCTGCTATATTTAATCTTCGAGCGAGATGTGCGTGTGTGTCTCTGGATACCAACTATGTCTTTTCACTCTTTCCCTTTATTTTGTTTTTATTTTTTTCGTCATCATACATGATTGATTTAAATAATTCAATAAAACTATTATTTCTAGAGTGAATGGTCAATGAGACTGTTGAGCTACTGCTGACAATGAACAACAGTAATAATCAATTAATGCCCATAATGATGACCAATGGCAATAGTAACAGTAATAATAATGAAATATTGTCAAAACGATCTACAATGAAAGCAACATCATTATTTGATATGATGTCTTCAACGAACAGTAATAATAATTCAACGATAAATAGTGACAATCGTATTAAATTTATTGATATTCTTGTATGTGGTTCATGTCAACAAGATTTTCAATTATCGGATATTCTTAAATTTATTGAACACAAAGCTAAATGTCGTAATAAAGAAAATAAACAAAAAATACCATATCATTTTCCACGACGACGAAGACGACGACGGCGTCGAAGAGAAGGTTACAATGATGATGATTACGATGATGATGATGGTGATGGTGATGGTGATGATGACGATTATGATGAAGATGATGATAAAATTCAACAAAGTGGCAATTCAAGTGAAAGTGATAATGAAAATAATATTCATCGTCATCAATCTGATCGTCAACAATTATCACAAAAACAAAAAACATTTTCGAAAGTTCTTGTTGATGCAAGTGCTAATACATTAAACAGTCATTGTAAATATTATATTTTTTTCTAGAAAATTTTATTTTGTTTTTATTTATGTATATATATTCTTATAGCGGAACCTTATAATTTTGAATGTAATGAATGTGGTGATGTTTACAGTTCAGGTAATAATAATAATAATTATTATTATTATCCTTCCAATTAATCATATTGATTATCTTTTAGCTTGGTTTCTCATACAACATTATCAACGCTTACACGGTTTGAAAATGTACAGAAATTGTCTAAATGAAAATTCTTCTGCTAATAATAATAATGATGATATTAATCCAACAACAGCAGCAACAGCAGCAGCATTGATGAATAATAGTTTATTAACAAAAGATCCATCAATGCTCAATATTGATCTTACTTTACTTGAAAGTGCATTTAAACAAGCTACACCATCTAATTCTTCCCTGGCATCATCAACAACATTCGCTTCAAATCAATTAATAGCTGCAGCTAATGCTGCACGATCAGTACAACAACAACAACAACAACATTCCCTATCTATACGAACAACAGCGGATAGTGAATGTAATCCGCGTGGTTCTCTCTCAGCAGGTGCTAACTCTAAGGCAAATGTGCCATTTTCAGCACTTCCTTCATCAACATCTACTGGAACATATTCAAGCTTATTACCAGATTCTGATCGATCAAACGCAATTGTCCAATTACTGAAAGAAGTAGCTAAACAACAAACTTGTAAAACATATGAAAAAGATAAATTAAATAATACTACAGATACACAATTTCTTACACCAAAATCTTTTGATGTTACGACATCTCAAGTAAAATTTTTTTTTTTTTAATTAACCAAAAAAATTTTCTTTCGATTTTTTTATTCAATCATAGATTGCAAACGATTCAAATAACAATGTACATAGTCATTATGGTAATTTTATTTATTATAATTTGTATTAATACATTATTATTATTTTTCTCGTTTGTATAGAAGAATCAAATCATAATACTCGACGTCAAAAACGACGACGACCACCGGATTCTGATCATAATGATGAATTTGAACATAAACAAATAACGTCATCATTATCTATTTCAAATTCATCAAATCGAGTTTCGACATTATCAGCTGGTCCTATGCGTCGTCTCTCAGCTTCATCAACGCCTTCAATATCATTATCATCATCTGAAGATGAACCAGCATCATCAATATATCATCATGGAAGAAATGGAAATAAAACAACTGCAATTGATACACCATTTATAACTGTTGATCAATCACAAGAACGAAAACGTCATCAACGTAAACCAACACGACAAAAGTCAACACAATTAATAAATGGTATTAATTCACAACAACCAATGACAACATCAGTTAAAGATGAACCATGCGATACAGATGATAATTGTGCTACTTATAATACTATTAATGATGATAATCAATCAACAACATGGAAAAAACCTGGATTATTATTAAAAACCGGTGGAAATCTTTCAAATGAATCGACTAATGAAAATCGAACATCAATAACGAATTCATCAACTTATAAATGGCTTCATCAAGCATTTCGTTCATTAATACCGTCACAATCACAAATGAATGATATTGAAATAACAATACAACAATCGCCACAATCAAGTAAAAAAAAACGAATTTCGATCAAATTTGAACTTCACATATTTCTTTTTTTTTCTCTTAGTTTCAATGATTGACAGTGGTGGTGGTGGTGGCCTTGTATCAACACGTTCATCTCCATCTCTATCTATAACATCACCATGTTCAACATCTGTACTTAATTTATCAACTACAAATGGAAATAATCTTAATGATCAAAATTCCCCATCTCAACCGAATGTAATTGATCATTCATTAACTTCACCTGATGGTGATTATCATCCTCATCAATCAAGAATATTAAATCAAACAAATCGAAATGAAAATAATTTCATATCATCAACATCAACATTTTTTACAAATAATGGTATTCATTTAACTAATGTATCGAATTCAAATTCTCAACGATTAATAAAACGTGATCGACGTAATGATACATGTGAATATTGTGGAAAAGTTTTTAAAAATTGTTCAAATTTAACTGTTCATCGTCGAAGTCATACAGGTAATTTATTTTTGTTTTGCTTTTTCCTTAATCATTTCTTGATTTGTTGATTTTTAGGTGAAAAACCATATAAATGTGAATTGTGTGCATATGCATGTGCACAATCATCGAAATTAACACGCCATATGAAAACTCATGGTCGTGCTGGAAATGAAGCATTTCGTTGTCGTTATTGTTCAATGCCATTTTCTGTGGCAAGTACTTTAGAAAAACATATGCGTCGTTGTGATCGTAATCCTCAAATTCTTGCTGTATTTAAACAACAACAACAACCAGCAACATTATCATCAATAAATAATAATCGAAAATCAATAGCAAATGTAAAAAATGGATTTTGTATTGATACAATTGATGATAATGAAGAAATGATTTCTGATGATTATTCATCATATGCTGAAATAATTGATGAACAAAATGAAGCAAGTTTAGATGAAGATGCTGATGATATTGATTATACTGAACAACCATCAAATGAGCAATCTTGAGTTTTGTTTTTTCTTTTTCATTAATCAGATACGATTGTCACTCTTTATATGTTGTGTGTATTCCTTTGTTTAGTTTTTTTCTTCTTCTTTAAATTATGATTTATATATGTAAACTATTCTTCTGTCTATTTTCATCATTCATTAGTCTATCATTTTCTTCTTTACCTGCTTTCATTTCTTCGGGTTATTTTCTATTTTTTACTGTCTCTCGTGTATTCCCGGTTGGTTGAAATTTTCTTTTATTCAACTGAACAAACACAGAACAGTTTTTCTCTATATATTCTTTTTTTTTTTCTTTCTGATAGAGTACATGTGTATGTTATTATTTGATGAATCTATTGAACAGTCTCTTCTATTTATGATCTCTACCTTGATATTCGTATACATAAGGTTTTTTTTTCTTGTTTGTGTCGGTTACTTATTTTCTGAAAAAAACCAAAAATCCTTCTTTGTTCCTATTACCAGTATGTGTGCGTGTGTATATTGAGGAAGGAAAAAAGAATAGCTATATTGATTTTGTTTCGCTTTCTATTTCTATGTTTGTTTTTTCGTGTAAACGACGAAATGACTGAATGACTTTTGATTTGTTCTTATATAATATTCTCATAATCGAGTTGTTCTCGATTTTTCTGTTGTTCTATGTGTATTTGTATTTAAAGCGAGGCAAACGAACAGTAGTTGAAAAAAAGCGATATATGAACATTGTTTTCATATACGTGGTTTTTATTTCATGTTATATGTATCTGTGTTATTTGTTGTTTTGTTCATTTATATTGCACGTCTCTTTCTCTTTCTTTTGTTTCTTCTTCTTTCTATCTTTTTCTTTTTTTTTTCTATAATTGATAATTAAAAATTAAAACGAAAGAAAAGGCACACATGTATACAACCACGTTATTTCATTCATAAAGCATTTGCGTTTTCACATTGACAAGCATAGTCCAATTCATTATATTTCTATTCCTCTTCAGATATGGCTAACGACCCAGCACTATCGTCGCTAAAAACATACCAACAAATTATTGCTTCGGGTTCTGGTGCCGTAGTCACAGCATTTTTCATGACGTTAGATATAAAAAATAAAGAAGATTATAAGATTATTTGTTCATTTTCTTTTCTATCCTATTCTCATTTACAACCATATGAAAACAAATCGAATTGAAATCTTTCATGAATACAAATCAAATAAAGAAAACATCATGTTGTCTTTAATTTGTTTTCATTTGGTTTAATTTATTAATTAAATCATCAAATAGAATGGACAAATAATTTTTGTACTCATTGTAGTTTTTTTTTTATCTACGTAAAATTTATCTAATTCGTTTTGTTTTTTTCTTTTAGACCATTCGATGTTATCAGTAAGTATAAATTTTCGAAACTATATTTAAATTGATCATATGAATGTTAGATAAATATTAACGTTGACAAAATTCTGATAGTTACGTGTTGGTATTAAAATTAATATTAAGACTTTAGTTTTATTTCGCATTAGAATTAATTGATGACAAAGGCTCACATTAAATTAACATTTTGTTAAAACTGAAATACAGATGCTACCGGTAATTAGTCTTTAAACAATACAAGCTTGAAGCTTTTACATATCAGAACAATTTTGCTTCGATATGCAAAACTTTTCTCCAAAGTAGAACAATACTGTACTGTTAACCTGAATTCTTGTGTTTCGACTGCCCTACGTCTAACCACAAATATCATATCTATTTAAATTAAAAATAATGCTAATTTGACTTTACATTTTAACAATAATTCTAATGCAAAATAATATAAAAATTAATTTTAATACTAATTCTAATGTGACATACATTACTGATAAATTATCTTTAATAATTGTTGTTTTTTTTTTAAATAAATAGAAGTTCGATTACAATCACAAACATCCAATGCTGTTCGACATTATTCTAGTGCAATTCCTCATCTATCAGCAAAACCAATATCATCAACATTATTATCATCAGCTGCATCATGTCGTCATTATATGGCACATCATCAAGTGATTAATTATACGGGAACATTAGACACATTATCTAAAATAACTCGAGTTGAAGGATTTCGTGTACTTTGGTCGGGTTTAACACCAGCTTTATGTGCATCAATACCAACAGTTATCATTTATTTTACATCATATATGAAAGCTAAACAATTACTTGGATATAATGAACGAAACCCTAATCCAATATTACCAGTGATTGCCGGTTTGTATCAATGACAACAAATAAGAATAAAAACCAATTGATTTTATCTTATAATTTTAGGTGCAAGTTCACGTATTTTTGCTGTAACAGCTGTTTCACCATTTGAATTAATTCGAACTAAAATGCAATCAGAAAAAGTTCCATATCGACAATTATTTCATTTAATTCGTACATCTTTATCAGAAGAAGGACCACGTGTTCTATGGAAAGGTTTATTACCTACATTATGGCGTGATATACCATTTTCAATGATCTATTGGTTTAATTATGAAACATTTAGAGGTAAAAGTTTTTAAAAAAAGTCTTTTTTTATATGTTTTATTATATTGAATATCATGGTTGTTTAGTGAAGAGATAAAAAAAAAAAGAAAAGTATATCATATAGAGTTATTTGAAAAGAGTGAGTACAAGATCATACATAAGATGGTTTTGATCGCGAGAGTAGAAAGTAAATGAAGAACCATAAAATAATCGAAAAAGAAATCAAAACTCAAAAACTATGAACATATCGTTAACAAAACAATCTAGTCTGATGTGAATTCAAGCGCATACCGGCCATTTTAAGTGTTATCACACGTATATCGCTTTAAGCGGTCGATAAAAAGCTCACTGAGAAGTTAAACTCAATGTATCTGGAGTTGTCATGAAAACCACTTCAAAACATCTTCAGAAAACATATAAACAATCGAATAGAATGTATTCATCTGTGATAAAAACAAACGAAATGATCGAATCAATTAACTAAATAGTGTACTGGAAAATCGTCGAAAGCAAAAATATCGAAAAAAGTTATGTCTTCAGTAAATGGTGATTTTAAGCAGCTGCAGTTCATTTTTGTTTTTCTTATAACTATATTAGTCTGAATTTTGAATAAGTAGTAATGCTGATGAGTAACATCTAATATAGATTAACTAAAAGAGTGAGCCAAGGAACTATTATACAACTATAGCTCTATTGTCATGAATGTAACTGCTTCATCTTCACTAAATTTAATTGACCCACAATCGTCAGCTAATTCATTGCAATTCAATGTGATATGGACAATTTTAGTGAACAATATGATAACATTGTTACAATTGCTATAGAATATTTCGATGATTTATCATTTACAGTTGTTAAACGAAAAAAATATGACGTTTTAAACTTTTTTTCTCCTGGGTTATATTGGATTTCTATTAGAATGTTACTATAATTCCATACAATGAAGCATGTACCGCACTGGTCAGAATTTTCTAAATCACTTTTCGATCATTTTCCACGTCGATATATTTTGTTTTTCGACATTTTTATGATCAACCAACTAAATCATATATGAAAAGTTTAACCCCTTTCGCGGCGACATGAGCCATCGATCAGCCACACTGCATGATGATCCAAAAGCTCATTTATCGCAGAAAAAATTGAATATCTGTGCCATACTTTGACCAAAGATACTGATTTTTTTACCGCTGATAGAGAAATTTTCATAGCCCATATTGATAAGAGAAACATCGATAAAAGCTGTATTGAAGTACTACACGTGCTAGAAATAAAGAAATGAAACTTTTCACGAATTATAACAAAACAATATTCATGTCGTCGAAATTGTATTAAATTATAATAACTATATTTAAGAATGATCGTTAATTAATTTTCTTTTTTACTTTTATAGCTTATATTGTTCGATCGAATATACCTGTTGATACATATACAACATTTCTTTGTGGTGCATTAGCCGGTAGTATTGCAGCAACATTAACAACACCTGCAGATGTTGCAAAAACATTTCGACAAATTGAACTTGGACGAAGTAAATATTCATCAATTGATGGATGTAATTGTTCATCAACACATATCAATCAACCGATTCAATCAACAAGAACTCTTTCAATTTTATTACATATACTTCGAGTTGAAGGCTCAAAAGGTTTATTTGCAGGTATATATTCATTCATTTATTTTATTAAAGAGCTTATTTTATAATTGATAATGTTTTAGGACTTGTACCACGATTACTTAAAGTAGCTCCTGGTAACAAGAAAAAACAAATATTTGTTTTGATTATAATTATTTTCTTTTTCTTTAGCTTGTGCAATTATGATTACGAGTTTTGAAACATTGAAAACATTTTTTCAACGTAGGAATGCTTCAAGTTTTTGATTAAATCACAATTTTTCAATACCGTTGATTTTGTTGAATAAATGAGAATAAAAGAAAATTCATTGTTATGTTATGTTTTTACCTTCTAGTGAATTTATTTTTACGAAAATAAAGAATTTGAGATATTTTTCTTTTTTGAGTCAAAAACTACAAAATAAATATTAAATGATTATACTTTAAGGTTCTTCCCTCCTCCAAGAAAGAAATCGATTTTTCTAAAACAAGACACTTTTTGGAATAAACAAATATAACCATGATCCTTATTATGTCAGATTTGAAAATTCATAAAAGTGACTTCTAATTTTAAAAGTTTTCTTCAGATATCTTGATGAATTCCTAGAGCTTTCTAGCGAAAAGGCCGGTACCATATTTACAGGAAGATTAAAAGCACTCCTGCAGTTACGATCCCTTGTTATAGCCCAACATGTAGGTATAAAACCATTTGATAGAAGTCTATATGAAATTTCATTGATACTTAATATGAACATATTTGATGCTTGTGTCAAAAAGTTCTTCAGGTAGATATAGAAAAAAGAAATGTTTGTGCATTTTTCTTGACAGTGGTCTTTTGCATAAATTGTCGAATTTCAAAGAAATTTCTTTTCTATAGGTATTTGACGCTCAATTACTGAATTAAAATAAGAACTCAAATATTCCTTCATGGATCTGAAATGGTAAGAGACTCTCTTTGAAATGAAAGCAGTTCGAGCACTGTATTTTGCACTCTAGACAGCTCATGGAGATCTGCTGAACAGTAAGATTTAAAGCCGTAAAAAAAACTAATAGGCTATTTTCGTCAAGCGAACATAATCAGAAAGTTTCATGGAAATTCCACGCGCTGTATCGAAAATCGATTTTAAAGGGAAACGCTCTAATTAATAGTAATTTATAGGTTACAAGAAATAGAATCTAACATGGTTCTCGATGTGGAGAAAGGGATGAAGTGAGCTAATCTCCCCAAATTTCGAATGTATTTACTAAAATTTTCTGCTTAGCTGTCTGCCTAATCTTTTGAACAGTTTTTAATATCTGACAAATTTGGTAGTAAATTAATGATTTCTGCTAGATTTCGTAAATCTGATAGACGATTTATGATTTCTGACGAGTCTAAAATACAAGCTATGACTTGTATCAGAGCTGTAGACAACCTTTGTAGAGTTGAACATCTATATCAGCAAGCTGAGTTATCTTTTTCTAAAGCTAAACCGCAGACAACTGTGATTTTTAGAATCAAGTCTAAAAAATATCCCACGATTGAATAACCATCACGAGCGTGGCCGTCTTCGGCAGCAAAAACATCTCTGACTTGAATTTGAAAGGACTTTATTTTCTTAAGATCATTAAGTAACACAGTTAGTAGCATTCTACGGAAAATTTTCGATCCAAGACAGATTATCTTTAATTTCTTACTAGTTAGTGAGGTTTACCGAGATTCCTGTTTAACATGAAATTGAATTCCAAAATGTAGTGAAGAACAAAGTAGGAAGTGCAAAAGAAATTGTATGAGAGTTGAAAAGGTCCATATACACTTTTTAACAAGTAAAGATGTCAACTTTGTTTTTCACTTTGAAATCTTTTATTTCCGGAAAAAAAACAAATATTACTAAGAAAAATTAAAATCTTCTCAAAGTAGAGGAGGAAGTGTGCACTGTCTCCCATCATTACATTCTTACCTTTTAGCTTCCTCCTCGGCCATTTGACTTTCTGATTTTGTTTGGGAAAATTTTTGAACATTGTTTGCAAAAATACTTAGCCCCTTCCACTTTCGAAAACCATAATACTTAAGCTGAAAAATGTTGTTGCTATGTATTTATTAACTGGATTATTTTTAAAACATGTTTTTGCTTAACAAAGAAATTCGTTTTAACTACGATATTAGAGACTTATATTTTAATGAAACCCTGTAACAAAATAGAAAATAATATTTGTAAGATATGAGTTGAAAATCAATGTTTTATCTTTTTATAATCAATTCTTTTTTTTTTTTTTATAAATTTTTAGATATTTCACAGACATATTGATAACTTGAACATTTATTATGAATATTCAATCTAATAATTCAAAGACATATTTCACTACAAGCTTTTTTTTGCTCATTGTTGAATATCTTAAAGGAACTTAAGCTGATTCGCATGTTTGAAGACATAGTTTAACCAATGTTATGTCAATTATCATATAGAAAAACAATCAATAGTAGCAAAACAAAAAAAAAGAACTTTGTCATCGCTTGTTTTTTTTTTTTTTTATGATGACATTAAAAGGATGAATCACTAATCAATGAATAAATCCTCTTAAAGAAGATTGTGTATAAGATTAAATATGGATCTAATGTCAATATTGTTATCATATAATGCAAAACAACGAAGAACAATTAGTCAACTTTTTGATGAATCAGTATGTTTTTTTCTTTGTATTGATTATTAGCCATCTGTAAAACTCAGGACTTATTTGATTCTATATGTTTAGAACTATTTTCGACTATTATTAATTAATTCTATTTTTATTATTGAGAGGAGATCAAAACCAGACATCGAACCTAAAAAAAGAACCATAAATTAATTATAGTTCAATTAATTAAAATAATAAGTTCATTTTTTCTCTTCATTCGTATTTCTTAATGTAAATAAATTTTCTTTTGGTTTAAATTGTAAAAGATAATGTTCGTATTCAATAAAACTATTAATAAACAGGAATTAAAATTATGAAATATATGTTGGAGGAGAAATTAAAATTCAGATAAATTTTAAATATCTTTTACATTTCATAGAATCAATAGAAAATGAAAATGAAATAAATATAACAAAATAGATAGAATAAATGTTACACCCAAAGTATCACCATGTCAGATAATATCGGTTCAATCATAATCAAAATGATATAGATACATATCAAATATTTACAATAGCATGTATAATCTCCTCGTAGTTTCAACTTCTTGATCTATTGGATTTATCCAAGTGGAACTTTCGCAATTTATGTGATGTCGATGCAACAATATTACCGACAATGACATTCATTCAAGCCTGTGAAGCGTATAGGAGTACAAGATTAATTACTTCTATTGAAGCATATAACTGTAATAACACTTGTTCAACAAAGAAATGTCATTGTCAGGCAACAAAAATACAGTATATTACTAAATGTCATTCATCAACGATGAAATTATGTTCCAATGTCTCATTTGAACTCTGCATTTGTGACACATAAAAATAATAAAGTTTATACTATGTGTTCAGGAATATTTAAAATTTTTCTGAATTTTAATCTTTCCTCCGACTTATATGAAGAAAAAAATGAATTACCCATCTTCATCAATAGGTAAATCTTTCATCATTTCATTCATTTCATTTTCTGATAATGATTCTCCCATTGTCATCAATGCTGTTTTAAATGTTTCTACATTAATAAGACCTACAAATATTATTAACCAACAACAAAAAAGCTTCTCGTTTTTTTTCTCTTACCATAACGATTTTTATCAAAAGAAAAAAAAGCTTTTTCTATTTGCTCATATGAGTATTTTGTACATGAAATTGTTGACATTATATCAATAAACCATAAATAATCAATATTTTTATTGTTATTAAATTCCGTATCAATATTTTCAAGATCATTTTTTGTTGGTGTAAAACCAAGTGCTCGTATAAGAAAATGAATATCATCAATTGTTATTATACCTGAATTTTTTTCATCCATTAATAAAAAAGCTTCCTTATAACGTACTTTATCTATATCATTCATGTTAATTAGAAACAATAAAGTGTAGCAATAAATTTCTTTTATATTGCATTCGATATTTTACGACATCTATGAATCATAAACGAAGGAAAAAAATAAGAACAGTGCGACAATATGGCTGTATATTTTCAACGACATAAGTCAGCTGTGTATGGATCGGACACAAAAAAAGAAAAAACGAAATGAATCATTTTTTTCTTTCTTGTTGTTTTATTATTCCCGAACGAACGAACAAATAAGACAAAAAGGCAATAATAAACGTTGAAAAGAGAAAAATGTCTTGGTCCTTTTCATTTGTTTTTCTTATTGCCTTAAAGGATAATTGTATTTCTTTGTTGTTTATAAAGTTTTCTTTTCTTTTTTTTGTTTGTTTCAGACAGGTCTAATGGCTTCGATATGACATCAAATAATACAGGAGAAAATGGTACATCAGTAATATTCAGGACAAACGGTATTTTTGTTTCTTCGACTTCACTTCATCCTTCTACAACGACATCGACAAATAATAATAATAATAATAATAATAATAACAACAACAACAATAACAATCATTACGAACCATTAGCCGGCGATATGCTTGACGCTGAACTTGATTCGGATCCTCAAATGTCCGATAGTGAACTTTCATGGCAATCTGTAACTGATGTTGATAGTTTAACAGCTACCAATCATTGGCGTGGTTGGAAACAACAAACTACGACAACAACATCATCACTAACAATTAAAAACACACATAATTCATCACCACCAATAAATTCAATAAAATTATGTTTTTCTTCATTAGATACATCAAATGAAGGTTTGATATACCAAAAAAAAAAAAAAAACAAAGATTATTTTCTATTTATAATTCTATTTATTTTAGATCGAATTCCTACATTAGTTGATTTAAGTGCAAAAACAATTGCACGACATATACCATTTGAATTAGTTGAACGTTATAATCAACCTGAACAACCTGTACCAGAAAATTTACAACTGAAAATAGCTTTTTGGAGTTTTCCTGATGGAATTGAAGATATTCGGTATGATTTTTAAAATTAAGTTTTATTTTAATCAATTTTTGTTTTAGTTTATATACATGTGTTGCAAATGGTAGTACCGATGAATTTGTTAAAGCTGAAGCATTACAACAAGCAAAAGCTGTACAACATATGTTACAAATTGGTTTTCATTTAAGTGCACAAGTTTATGAAATAAATTCAATGACAAATACAACGAAAATAGCAACACAATATTATCATGTATCAATTATATTTGATAGAAAAAAAATTACATCATGTCATTGTACATGTAATAATTCAAGTTCATGGTGTTCACATATTGTTGCTGTTTGTCTGTGTCGGATAGCACAAGTAAAATTTTGAAAAAGCAAATTTTTTAGTATTCATAATAAATTATTGTTTTGTTTTAATAGCCAGAGAATTGTTGTCTTCGAGCACCAGTTTCTGAATCATTATCACGACTTAAAATTGATCAACTACGGTATGAAATAAAATCTTCTTTTTTTATTGGAATTCACAGAATGAAGCATAAATAGTACTACGATAAAAGAAAATGAACTGTTTTCCTGTCGATTTAATCGTTTGAGCTAATTTTTGAGTTCGTGGTAGAATTTTATTCAGTTTTTATTTCAAACGAAGAAGATAAGCAACTATTATGATCAAGTATTAGGGTTGGTATCATGAAAACAATTTTACCGGTTATCTAATAAGAAAAATACATACGAAGCTTTTCATAGTTAATTTTCAGTTGTTATCTAAGAGTTATAATACGAAGAAATCCAAACAAACTTTATAAATTAAACTATATTGATATATATAGTGCAAATTTTCAGAAAGAATTTGTATAAAACTTAACAAGTACAACACTTCGAATTTCCAAACATGGAATATGAAGCAGAATCGTCGATATTTTGTTTAGGGTGGTGAGCTAAAGATGCAACAAAAAGTGGTTTCATCCTTAGAGTGTTAGAATTGACGATCAGGGTGAAAAGAACAAAGCCTACTCTGACCTAATCCCTCCATAACAGACGACCTCCCACTAAGCTGTCTTTTCACTGGAGTCTATCCGAAACATATTCACCTGATATCGATATAGTGTGCTTATTGTTATTGCACTTTCTGTCAGAGAAAGACACATGGCATTTCTGTCCTAAATTATCATGAAACTGTAAATAATTAACAGAAAGTCGGACATTTTGGACAACGAGAACTCTCTTCTAAATAATAACCCTGCGAGAAAGTTGGTGATTTGATGTTCAAAAGACTGTACTTGTGTGTTTTATTTGTGGGTACGAATTTCAGCATTTAAATTGATTGGTTTGAATACCTGCTTTGTGTGTATCAATATAGTTCGTTTTGACTTATTATTTTCAATAACATCTGAAAATTATCTATGAAACGCTTCATATATATATATTCTTCTTACTTGACAGTATCATTTGTTTTTGTAAGCTGTATGAAAAACTTTAAATAAGCTTTTACCGTTAACCAAATTCAAGTGAACCGTAATGAATTTTCGAATTTTTTATCATAGTGTAATTTTGGTCCGTCCTGAATATTTAATTGATTTATTTCTTTTTGTTTTTTATTTCAGGAAATTTGCACAATATCTCATTTGGGAAATTCCTCAACAAGTATGCATATTAATTGATTCATACTTCAACATAAAATATTTGTTTCTTTTTTTTTATAATGTATAGTTCTTACCTAAAGCTCAAAGTTTATTAGATGACTTACTTAGTGATAAACCAACAAATGTGAATATGTTACAAGGAGCGCCAGTAAGAGAAGAAGAAAATTTTATTTTGGTTATATTTAGTTTTTATAGGATCCAACAGCTGGTGGTCTTTCTTCGGATATATCTGTTTGGTTTTTAGATGAAACAAGTTTACAAGAAAATATTACAAAAACTTTACATCGTTTTTGTCAACCAACACCACAAGTTGTTGGGTATGAAAAAGAAAAATTCTAATTGAATTATTCGATGTGTTTCATGTGTAAATTTTCTTCAAAGGTTTTCAGATTAATAATACACTTTACACGGATGTTTTTTTTTCTTTCTCATATATTTGAATAATTGTATTAGAAATTTTCATACAATTCTTAAATTCATTATTATTATTAGAAAGAGCTGCCAGGTTTTATCTAGATGAATCTGTTGACAGAATATAATATATTCGAATAGTATGAAAAGAAAGACATAATTCTGAAGTATCAGCTCTCAGTATCGCTCATCTTCAGTCAGGTACCTACTCTCAGCGTAATGTCCTTCATTTCAAGATGCGATGTCCTGTGGAATTTATAGAAAAATTTCGAAAAAATAAATCCTGGAAGCTGTTGGTGATTACATATAATAAAAGCAAGATTTGATTTTGATATCTTATAAACCATGATAAGGAGATTTTTATAAATTGATATTATAAAATCCCATTTATTCTTTTGAAAATAAAAGGAAATACAAATCAGGTTATTGATGTTCGTTCATCTGATTGTCATTTTATTTAGTCATGTAGGCTGTAACCAGTTGTAACAAAAAGAAGAAAAGTTTTCCACAATAACTTTTACTAATGAGATTAGGAGAATAACTCGAGCTGAGCCTTATATTCAAAATTTGTTTCCTTTTCAAAATTCCATTTGAAACTTGAAGATACAATAACCTTCGACAGAGAAATTCTGAGCGCTAGTCATGATCAATTCACAACATTTTGTTCTATCAAAGGTTGTTATATCTTCACGCCTTAAATGGAATGTTGATGAAGAGAAAATTCTGAACCAAAGGTTCAAGTCGAATCATTCTTCTAGTCTTTTTATGAAAAGTTGATGCAAACAACTTCCACTTTTTTTTGGTCACGATTGTGATTGTGCTGCAAATCTCTAATCTTAATCCATTAATTACATCGACTACCCTCGTATTTTATCTTTTATTCATTGACATAAAGAAACATTAAACATTGGTCAATTTGTTTCATCACAAATTTTTTTGGAAGATTTCAATACTAAAAAACTTTCATATTTCCATTTGAACGAATGTTTATCTAAGTGATTCTATGATCATGATTGTTCTATCATATTTTATCAGTTTAAATCACTTAAATATTGGCTATTGTTGTTTCGATCTTTCTTGTCTCATATTAAAAGCTTAAACTAAGAGGTATTATCATTCTCAGTCAATACAATAATTTATCTAATTTCGAAAACTTCTATTACAACCTTTACTCATCCGTTCTATTATACGATACACAAAAAGTACAAAAAACATAGTTTCATAATAAAATTGATTATCTTATTGTCCTGTTAGAATGTGTATCATATAGCTCATTGGATTCAAAATTCTCAGATCTGGACTAACCTGACGCACTCCAATCATATTTACTTTAACATTCATATATGAAGGAATTTAGTAGTTTCATCCATAAAGATGCAACATTGTGTTGAAACAATATTTTAAAATGAAAACCTTTTTGTGTCTTTTAGTGATGTAACCTATTTAACAAGTCCTCCTATCTTAGCTACAACTGAATATTCAAATCTTTTACGTCCATTACGTGGTCGTGAACCTGAAGGTATGTGGAATTTATTACAAATCGTTCGTGAAATGCTTGCTCGACATGATCTTAATGGTACTCAATTACTTGATATTCTTACTCGTCAATGTCTTGCTCAAGAACAAGTTCGTTAAATACAAAAGAAAAATAAAATCAGTTCTTTAATTTAAATTTTCTTTTTTTCTCGTTGTTTTTTTGTAGATCATGCAATGGTGGTTTACAACAAAAGTTTCCAATGTTTATAATGAACGTGGTACAAATGGCTTAAAACCTCATAATACATCATTAGTTCAACAAGCAAGTTCAGCTTTATGTGATGAAATTGTACAAATTTGGCGTTTAATTGCACTTAATCCACGTTTAAATAATAATGAACGTAATATAATTTATATGAAATTATGTTCATGGCATTTATCTATAATTGAACGTATATGTAAACAAAAAACTACAACAACAAATATATCAACAACAACAAATGGTGTTTATACAACATCAACAATTAATTTAAATAATGATAGAACATTAAATCAAAAACGACGTGATATTGATATATTTCCTGGATTTTTACCAGCTATTGAAGTTTGTCAAATTGATTGGAATAATTGTCCATATTATTCAAATAAAATTGAAGAATATAATCCTAATAATAATAAACGATTATGGTCTGAATATATTCGTTCATATGATGAATTATTAACTGGTGGCTATTCAAAATTAAATTCTAATATAAATTTTAATTTAAGTATTCAACAACAAATAATATCTAATCCAATATTAAATACTCATGAAGAAATTAATTCAATTGCACCTGATAGTGAAATAATTGATAATGATGATGAAAAATGTCAAGATATTGATAGTGGTGAAGAATCATGTGGTGGAATTAATATTGATCAACAATCATCATCAAATAGTAGTGATGAATGTCGAATTTATTTTGCTGATCAACAGTCATTAACTAAAATTCAAGAAATAAATCGAACAACAACAGTTGAACCATATTTATTTAAAATATTAAAAATCATTAATGATCCATTACAAGTATGAATAAAGAAATTTATTATGAAAAGAAAAAATTGAGTTTGTTTTATAATTTATTTAGATTGCATTTGTTCGATGTGAAGCATTACGTATACATGGTTATCATGATGAAGTATTTAAACTTGCTAAAGAATTAGCTAATTATATGCTTAATAATGAAGAATATTCATCATCTTCTCAAGGTTTGTTTTTTGTTTTACTTTATACGTTTCAACAAAACAAGAATATATTAAATGTAGAAAAATATTTATTAGAATCTGTCATATTGATTAAAGTCAGTTGTTTTTTTGATTAATAAATTTATTACGTGATAGAAAATTCGTAGAACTAAGCTATTTTCTTTTTTGTCTTGTTGATTAATACATAGAATTTTATGACATTGTCTATATAGATGTATAGAACTAGAAATTGAGGTGTTATATGGAATTTGTCTTAAAGATGTTTTATATTATTAGATTTCATCATATAGAAGGATATGTTATTCTATAGAAAGTGTATGTCAAAATAGTAAGCAAATATTTTGATGATTGATATTGTCTATTAAATGACAATTAAAGATAGTTAACTATTAATAACTCATATGGATTCATTACTAAAACAGTAGTCCAAACGTTTAGACTTTTAACAATTGATTGACGTTATCTATGGCAAACTGATATATAGTTAATTGGTCGAAATATATAAGTTTGTTGAAAAAAATAAGAGCTATCATATTAACCCAAAAAAAAAAAAGAAGAAACTTCGAAATGCATAAATGTTATAGTTATTTTTTTAATCTAAAGTAAAATAATCTTTGTTAAAACAGTCGAAGATTACTACTTGCCGAGAAAAATAAATTTTGAACATTTATAACATTCAAGATTCAGCTTGTTTTCAGAGAACATATAACTAGAGGACCATTACACTGGTACAATTAATTATACATGCACTAAACTAAAACTCCTAAGCGGTTTAAGGTTGATGCGTTTCTAAACACAACCTTCAAAGAGTCTTTTTTTGTCATTAAATTTTTGCCGAAATAGCAAACTTACACGTTACAATATCTTTCTGTGTTTATTGTAGAAAAAACTTAAGAATTGGATATCTCAACAAACAATGTAATGAGAAAAACGAACTCTTTGGAGATTATGCTAATGTAATAATTCTCTAGTTATTTGTAGAATATGAGCTTAAAATCTTGTAATTAGGTGCTAATTACTGATTAGATATGCTTTAAAAACAAATTGATTCTTCAACATAATAGTTGTTGATGGGTCATAACCAAAAAATGTATAAGATTTTCCACTTATTCATCTACGACTGTTTTAACAAAAATTATTTTACTCATGATTAATAAAAATAACTCGACTATTGATGCATTTCAATCGATTAACTATATATCAATGAGTCATAGATAACATAAATTTATTGAGAGGGGTCGAAACCTTTAGACCGCTAGCATCTTTTTTTTTTTAAATAAATGAAATCATTTATTTGTATTGAATATCCTGTTTTTTATAGCTTATTTGGATGTTCATATATCAGATTATGCACAATCTCCGATAGCTCGTTGTGCATTTCTATGTACAATTCTAAATGAATCACCTGAATATCAACAACTTGCATTTCGTATTGGTTTACTTGGTCTTGAAATATGTCGTATGCCAGCAACAACAAAAGCACTTGAAGTACGTTTACTTAATTGTGAACAAGAAATATGTCAAGAACTAAAAAAAATAACTCTTGGACAAAATGAAATTGATATACTACGACAACGTGCTGAACATTTATGTACACGTCTTTTAAATACACGTGATGACGGAATTTTATTACCACTTAGTTTAGCAACATATATATTTGAAACATTAAGATCACTTAGTTTATATCGTATAAATATGAATTCAAATTCAAATTTATCATTGTCACAAAATTTTTCTATATTATCATCTCTAGAAAGTAATAATCAGCATAATGATTCTGATGAATTACTTGCATTTGATACAGCTATTTGTGCACTTGGAGCTAAATGTTATATATCGGAAGGTAAATTTTGTTTCTTTTTTCTTTTACACAGACGTTGTTCTAATTATATTATTTTAGCTCAAAATCCAATATTATGTGAAGGTATTCGTCGTCAACGTAGTGATCTTGCACTTAATTTATTAACATTATATAAAGATGATCAAGGACGTTTAATACAAATTCTTGATAAATTACTTGATCGTGATATACATGTTTTATTTAAAAATCCAAATATAAATCCATTTAATGTTGGTTCGAAGAAACTTAATCAAATATCAACATTATCACAACAAACAAATACAAATTCATCATCATTATTATCATCATCATCTTCATTATCAAATCGTTCACAACATAAAAAATTATTAACAACAGCAACAACAACAGCATCAAATATGAATGGTGAACAATTAACTGAAATTGATAGTTCTGGTTTAGATGAAAGTGAAGGTGAAAATTTTGATCAAAAAGCTTGGGAAGCAAAATTTCGTTGTTTAAATTTAAAAACTAGTTCAAAACGAATATCAAATGGTAATTAGAAAATATTCCAATATTAGTATTTTATATTCTTTTTTTTGTTGTTGTTTACTTAGGTTTCACAAGTATTGATAGTAGTGCACCAGAAACAAATTCAAGTGACAATTCACCAACTGTATCACGTCGAAATATTCGTATTTCATCATCCAAAGCAAATGCTGATTCAGAAAGTGATAGTGAACGTGATACAATACAACGAAATGGTTAAGATCTAATTATAATAAATATTTATTCAAAATTTAAAGCAGAGCTGAGCAAGCTATTCAAAGATTTCTATAGAAATTTCTTAATTTTAAAATGTTTTGACCTACTTTTAGTGGCATTTAATATACAATAGTCTCGACTACAATAGAGTATCTAAAAATAAATTATATTAGTTTCATAAGCTCAATCATATTATTTTATAAATGACTGACTCGAAATTCGGCTCAGTATTTTTGAAGAGTATGATTGAGTTAGTCTAGATTCACGCGTGGACGCGCCAAAAAGTTATGAGTTTATACTATTTTCGAATATGAACTTGAAAATTTTGTTTAACAGTAGTGAAATAATCTTTGAAAAGTCTAAAGGATGAATTTCGACGAAAAATTTTTATATTTCTGCTATTGTGATTCGAAACTAAAAGTTGACATCTTGTTTTTTGTATATCAGCTTGTAGATGAGAAGCTACCATTCAAAGTGTACTATTTGAAGTTGTGTTTGTTTGTTTTTCGATAAGATATTTCCATTTTCATTGTTTCTAAAAACTCATTTTTGAAAAATCGACAACTGTTTTACGTTGAAAGGGGTTCTTGAAAAAAATACTTGTAGTCTCATTTGGGTAAATGCTACAGACTTAATTCAATATCATGTTATGTATAGTGTTCGCTTTAAAAAATGCACAACTTCATCAATTTTTAGTATATTCGAAAAGGAACTCATAGAATAAACAAAAACCTTTTGACTCGTTATTAAAATTAGTTTTTCAAGTCTTTCAAAAAGTCCTTCATTATTCTTGAACAAAAATAGACACAAGATTTCTAAGCTCATATCTGAGAAAATCACAAAATTCTGATCATAACTCATTGGTAATACTTTCTAATTAATCAAAAATATTTTGTCTAAAAACTTCTCAATCATTTGTTAAATGCGACTAAAAGTAGATCAAAATATTTTAGGCTATAAGAGCTTTTATAGAATTCTTTAAATGACTTGCTCAGTCCTGATTTAATAGGAAACCACACATTTATTCTTTTTTTAGTTCGAAACGAATCTCCATCACGTATGGATCCTAATACATCATCAACAGAAATTCTTTCTTCGCCAACACTTCATTTAACAACATCAAGAAATACATCAACAATACCAAAATCAATTAATTTACAACAACAATCTTCACCAAATTCTCATATTCTAAAACCTCTCAAAGGTCATATAAATACATCAAATGGAAAAAACCGTTCACCATGTGCACCTAATCAACCATCGGAAGCCCTATGCCATTTTATGTTTGAATTAGCTAAAACGCTTGTACAACGCGCTGGTGGTACAACATCAACATCACTTTTTGTTGGTCCAACACATAATTATCCACCACCACATAGAAATTTACATTTATGTGCAATAACAATAGCACTTTATGCACTTGGTGTTAATAATCATGTTCAAACAAATTGGATGATTCGTACATATTCAAGTCTTGTATCATGGATAACATCGACAGCTATTGATATTGGCTTACAAGCTATATTAATATTAATTGAATGTTGGGAAGGACAATTAACACCGCCTGAATGTGCTGGTATAGCTGATCGTGCATCACGTTCACGTGATAATGCTGTTGTACGTACAGCTGCTGAATTAGCATTATCAACATTAAAATATGCACATGCATTAAATGCAGCTGAAATACGTCAAGCATTAGCACAATGTAAAGAACAAAATATTGATATGCTTGAACGTGCATTAACAACAATTGAAAATGCAACACGTGATGGTAATTTAGTATTTATTGATATTTTATTTGAAGTTGCTAAACGTTGGTATGAAATGTATTATGAACGTACAGGTGATTCATTAAATAGCGATGATGATACAACTGTTGTTGATATACGACAAACATTTGATAATAATCCAAATGTAACACCAACAAATCCAATGGATTTACATTGGACACATACAAATGGTTCAAATTCATCACCAACAACAGCAACATCATCATCACCAATGATGTATACAACTAATAATCAAAATACAAATTTTTCAACACCATTTCAACCGCATCCATCAACACATTTTAATACTCATGCTTATATGATTCAAGCACAACATGGACCACCGCCACCACCACCACCACCATCAATGCATCATCATCAATTAGGGAATTTTCATCAACAAGTACCATATCCACAAATCATTCCAATTCAATATTCATCCCAACAACAACAGCAACAACAACAACATTTTGCTTTTCATACAGGTCCAACAAATAATTTTCATCCACATTCACATCATCCTCGTCATCCACCACCACAACAAATGCCTAATGCTATACTTGTTAGTCCAGGAAATTTTCCTACAGCCTATACTGTACATCATGTAACACCAACAACAAATCCACAAATTTATTCTCCTAATCAAAATCAACAACAATCATTTTATCCAATTAGACAAATTCCATTAGTTGTTTCACCACCAACAGAACCAAATGTTTCACCTCCAGCAACAACAACGACAACACAGCAAACGAATGTTACTAGTCCAAATACAACACCATCAGCTGAAGTAAATATCACTTTGTTATTTCAAAAAAAAAACAATTGAGACTTTAATAATTCAATTTTAGCAACAACAGCAACAGCAAACGGATGCAAATCATCGTCAATATTTACTTAATGCATTTCGTGTTGGTATGTTAGCAATGAATACACTTGCATTAGAACGAGCTCGTCAAAATCATGCACATATGGAACGACGTAGTGAACAAAATCATCCAACACCACGTTATGGTGAAGATGTCAAATGGCTTCTGAAAATTGCACTCAAATTAGGTACGAGAAAATAATCATTTTTATAGAATATTAAATAAAATTGTTTCGACAATTTTTGTTTTAAATATAACATTCTTAGACAATTGACTTTTGAGATGCAGTTTGCTGCAAAAATATAGTCAATGTTTATACTATGTACACAGAAAATTTCATCCTTAAATATTAAGTCATTATAGAATTAGATATAAAAATCTGAACTAATCAATTTTTGTTCGACAATCTTTTAAATTGAGTTATTCTTTTTCTTCCACAAAGAAAACGTCTATGATTATTTTATGATGAACAACTGACAATGTTCATATGAATTGAAGCCCGGAGCGCAAAAATTTTGGATTTGACAGACTCTAATGTGAACTCTTTTTTCATTTTTATATAACGAGCGATTTTTCTTTGAAAACATCTGTTTTGAAAGAACGTTTAGCATTGCAAATTTCCCAGAAAATAAGCTTTCAAAATTGAAAAAGTTTTTTTTTGCTTTGAGAAACTTTAAATTATCTACTATCTTTATGCAGCAGCATCAGACGTTCTTTCGAATATGATATTTCAACAGAAAAATTACTTGTTATATAAAAATGATAAAGAATTCACATAAACATTGTCATTTTTCTGTCATAAAATAAGCATTTCATTTCATAGGCATTTAACTCGTAGACAGTGTTCAGCATCAAAATGTAGTTTGTATTTTTCTCTTCCGATTTATATAATTTCAATTCTTTTGAATAATTGTGGAAAAAACAAAAACTCAATTTAAAAGGTCATTCAGTATTGTAGATATATTAAGACATTTTTTTTTCTATTGTATTTAGGCAATGCTGAATTACAAGAATTTGTTACAACAGCAACAGCTGTTATTGTTAATCCATATTTATTACATAGTCTTGCATTTAATATCTATAATGTTTCACAAAATAATCCAAATGGTTCATCATCAAATCAAATGCTTCGTTTACCTTTTGTACAATCTTTAATGCAAAAATGTTTACATGCATATACACGTTGTGTACATAATAAAATGGCACATATGACAACAAATAATGATATTGAAGAATTAACATCATTAATGAAACATGCACGTTCAGCATTTTTATTTATGGGTAATACAAGTGATTATCAAGGTTTAATGAATTTTGTTAAAACATCCAAAAAATGCAAAAAAGATGTTTATCCAAGACTTTGGCAAGCAATTCAAAATTAGAGCAAAACAATAAAAAAAGAAAATTTCATACCTATTTTTTTTTCATGTTTTATTGGCCATAAACTTAGGAACGTTTACATGCGTGTGATTTTTTTTAGGCATATGCATCTTGTTTTTTTTCTTTGTTTTTTTCGTTTCTCCCGTTTCTTTTATATGTAACATCATATATATGGGCAGATTTTCCACCTTATACCAGATACAATGTATAGCGGCTAAATACGTTAATTTTGCTCTTTCGCTTTTTTTTGTTTCTGTTGTGTGTGTTTGTTGTTTTGTATGATCCATGCGATTTTGTTTTCTCCTTCTAGTGTTAGTCTTAAAAAAAAAAACTCACAAAAAAAATACGACTAATTTGCGCTTTTGTTCTACTCATGTATCGTACATATTATTATAATTGGAATTTGAATTTGAATTAAAGAAAATATGGTAATAAATAAGCATTGATGATGATGATAAGCAATTATCTTTCTAGAAAATAAGCATAGCAATAAAATAATGCTACGTTCTCGTCTATTATTAATTAATCAACCATTATTACAACGAACTGTTGTAACACAAGCAAATATTTCTATTAATAATCATAATGAAAATAACCAAAAAGAAAAGCAACGGAATGTACCGGAGGATTATCAATCATCAAAGGTATTATATAAGCCTCCACGGCTACCATTAACACAACAATTTACACATCAAGTAACAAATCAAGTTCCACCACTTGAACGTGTGGATTTTTATGAAAGTGATTTAGCATTACAAGAATTTGTTACAAAAGAAAATTGTGGACAAACAAGAAAAATGGCTGCTGAATTAGGTACTTTTCATTGGTTTGAACTAGGACATCGAGCTAATCGATATCCACCATCATTACATCAATTTGATCGTTACGGACAACGTATTGATGAAGTTCAATTTCATCCTGCTTATCATGAGCTTTTGGCAATAGGCATGCGATATGGTGTAAGCAATTCAAATAAATTAGAGAAACAAACTTGAACAATCTTATTTCGTTTTGTTTTTCTAAATAGGTTCATTCTATTGCTTGGGAACCATTACGAGGAACTACAATTGAAATTAATCCACATGGACATCTGCAACATGCAGTAAATAATTAATAATATGAAAGTTTTTTTTTGTTTTGAATTAAAATATTTTTTTCAAGGCAGGATTTTATATACTTAGTCAAGTGGAATCTGGTGTGTGTTGTCCTTTATCAATGACATATGCTGGTTTTCCTGTACTTCATCGATATCTTCATCGTGAAAGTTCAAATTTGACAAATAGTTTTCCATTAAATAAAATTCTATCTCGTAAATATGATCGACGATGTTTACCAGCTAATACCAAATCTGGATTAACAATTGGTTAGATGATTTCTTTTATTTACGAAACAAAACAAAATCCTATTTTACATATTTTTCTTTTTTAGGAATGGCTATGACAGAAAAACAAGGTGGTAGTGATGTTCGTACAAATACAACAAAAGCTTATTGCGACAATGCAGATGAAAAACGTTATATTCTTATCGGTCATAAGTAAGTCAACTATTAATTACAATAAATTATTAATTTAATATTACATATTTAATCATTTATTAGATGGTTTTGTTCAGCACCAATGAGTGATGGTTTTCTTGTTCTTGCTCATATTCAAAATGATGATATACATAATAAATCATCATCTAATGGTGTTCCATCTTGTTTTTTTGTTCCACGATGGTTACCAAATGGTGAACGAAATCCATTTTATATTCAACGATTAAAAAATAAACTTGGTAATCATTCAAATGCATCAAGTGAAATTGAATTTAATAATACTCAAGGTGTAAGTAGAAATATTAGTTATTTCATATTAAATTCAAATGAATAAATATAATCTAGTGGCTTGTGGGTAAAGAACATAATGGTATTAAAACTATTATTGAAATGGTAAATGGTACACGTTTAGATACTGCTGTTGGAAGTGCAGCATTGATGCGACAAAGTTTAATACAGGTAATAATTAGACTTTTTTTTTTCTTATTGAAAAACAAAAATTAACAAATATTTAAAAAATTTGATGCAATAAAATATTTCTTCTATTATAATATTATACTAAAAAAAATTTTTAATTATACATAGTCTTGTTTATGTTGAATTAATATTCTCGAGCATTATGATTTTCTCTAGAGAAATTTTGTTTTTCATTTTTTTTCTCTTTCATGTTAGGCTACTTGGCATGCTCGTCATCGAAAAGCATTTGGTCAATTATTAATCAATCAGCCACTTATGAAACAAGTTCTAATCGATTTATTACTTGAATCAGAAGCTGCTACAGCACTTGTTATGTATCTTGCAACATTATTTGACTCAACATATAATAATAATAATTCAAATAATATTAAAGAAGTTAAAGCATTCACTCGTATAGCTACAGCAATAGCTAAATTTTGGATTTGTAAACGAACGCCTGAAACAACATATGAAGCATTAGAATGTCTTGGTGGAGCTGGATTTGTTGAAGAATCAAATATGCCTCGTATATATCGTGAAGCCCCATTGAATAGTATTTGGTAGATAAAATTTATTTATCAAAAAAAAGAACAAAACACTATCAATTGGTCTTTCTTTCTATGTTTTTTTTAGGGAAGGTAGTGGTAATGTTATTTGTTTAGATATATTACGTGCAATGAAACGATCTCCTGAATCGCTTCAAGCTTATTTATCATTTATGCATGAAACCAAAGGTTCAAATAAACATTTAGATGCATCATTGGAACGTATTGAAAAGAGTTTATTAACAAAAAATCTTTCTAATGAAATGCTTGAACGGCATGCGCGAACATTAGCTACACAATTAGCATTATCGCTTCAAGCTGCTTTACTTATTCGTCGTTTGCCACAAGAAGTTAGTGATGCATTTTGTTCATCACGTCTTGGACCTGATCGTGGTTCTGTATTTGGCGATTTACCAATGGATGTTGATACGGATAAACTTTTAAAAAGATTACCTTTCTAACTTTTATTGATCTATTTTCTACAATCAAAAAAACCTAAGAGATTTTTTTGTTTTTTCAAACATATAAAACTTGATTATTTTTGTTCCAATTACATATATTAATTATTTAGTTGCTAAAATGATTTTATTTAAAGAAAAAAAAAATTATCGTAATAAATGCTAGTAACAATAGAATTGCTGCTTCGTTATGCAGATTTCTGTCTGAACAATCTATCGTTTGTTTCTTGTAAACTTTACATAGAAACATATTTGGTTTTCTTAGACGTTCTGTTTGTTAGTATTTTGACATTCGAAATGAAGATATCGTTTTTATTTTTCACATATTTTCAATTTTATTTATTCATGATCATTATCAAGACAAAAATGAGAGAAAAAATATAAAAAATACTCTGAGCTCATTATTGCATATACTTTTTGTTTTCTTTTTCTTCATCCGACATTGAAATATATATATATATATGAATATATCTGTCTTTCACTTTCCATTATTGTCATTGAGATGATCAGTAAATTCTTCTTCAGGATCTTCATCAATATATGGAATAATTCCTCGTCCTTCATATGCCCCGGTTCCATTGATTATCACTGAAGTTGTTGAAAGATTTTGTATTTGTAGAAGACGTCGAACGAGTGCAGAAAATTCAGCATAATCAACTTGACGATTTCCATCTAAATCAGCTTCTCTTATCATATCATTAAGTTCATCGTCAGTTAATTTCTCGCCTGAATATTGAACCAAAAAAAAAAACAATTCATTTATATCTTTTGCTATATTTTTTTAATTTACAATCAAAAAACAAAACATTATTACCTAGATTACTCATCACAGAACGAATTTCCACTTCACTAATATAACCATTTCCATCTTTATCAAATATACGAAATGCTTCATTGAGAAGTTCATCATTAAACATTTCTAATCGACTATCAGCTTTGCGATTCATCATTTGTTTAAATTCATCAAAATCGATAAGACCATTACCTAAATATTTATTAAAAAAGAAATTTGTCATTTTATTAATTTCTACATTAGACAAACGAACCATCTTGATCAACTTCTCGAATCATGCATTCTAATTCAGATGGTGTCGTTTGATAACCAATAGAACGCATAACAAAGGCAAGATCTTGTATACTAATTACACCACCACCAAGCCGATCGAATAGAGCAAAAGCTTCTTTTAGTTCTATTTAAAAAAAAGCAAACTTAATAAAAAAAAAAAATCATCAATTATTGATACACACTATTTTCATGTTCAATGGAAATAAAATTTGCTCGCATTGTCATCAGTAGTATTTACAATAATTGTAGACAATAATAATGTTGAACATGAATGAATGAATAAATAAATGAGAGAGAGAAAAAAAAGAACACTAACAAGATATTGGATTTTCACACGATCGTTAATAAGACAATAAAGTAGAAGCAAAGAAAAAAACGAAGAAAAAAATGATATATTTCTAAACCAGCTGTTCTCCAAATTATTGATGTTATTCTTTTCCTCTGTTTGTATCCATCTCATCTAAATGTATACAGTTAATACCATCGTTTGGGAACATATTCTATGCATCTATCAGTCTATTGCATGAGATGCAGCAGTGTAGATCTCAATTGTTGCATAGCCAAATACTATAAGCTAAGAGCGGAAATTTGTTGAATGCATGCGCGTCGGCGCGTCATACGACGATTATCGGAGTTTCTTCGATAGGAAACACTAGTCTACTAGTATGATCCCAAAAGACAACAGCAGTAACACAACAATTCTTTTTTCTTGCATGTTTCTATGTTGAGTGCTTCGTATTCCGCATTATATTGTTGTTTCATTCTTTACTCTTACTGAGTGGTTGCAATAATAATAATAAGGACGATTTACTTCTTTATGATCGACATTGTCATTTGTTTCATTCTATGCCATAGCTAAAGCAAGAGAAAATATGTATATATATATATATACATATATATATTGTCCAGATGTTTTTCTTTTGAATGGTTTTAATAGCTAAAAAACAATAACTATATGTGAAATATGAGGAGAAAACTAGAAAAGAAAAGCAAGACAATATTTGGTGATGTGATGGTTATTGATGATGATATTGTTTTTGTTATTCAAGATATGACTTTTCTAACCAATATGAAAAAATATCTATCTGATTCAAAGCAAGACTATTTTGAGTTCAAGAACCTTTTCATTGAAAAATATACATTTCTTTTATACTATACAAAAAAAATTTGTTTATATGTGGTTTTTGTCTCTTTTTCTGATATGTGTACATGACTATATTTGAAAACTTGTCTTTTGTGGCCAGCTATTCTTGTCATCGGTATCTACCATGCTAGAATCGATATACTTCTATTAATGGTATTATTATTATCGGCACAGATCCCACGCTCTCTCAAATGTTCTTTTCTTCTCGCATCCACAAGAAGAGAATCAGCCGTTCCTTATTTGACTAAAATTTGTGTTACCACAATATTGACGCCTTACTTCTTTTTCTTTCTGTTTTTTTTCTTGCATATATCCGCTTTTGTACACATATTACAGTACGATGCACATAGAAAGATTCTTCTTGTTTTTTTCAATAATATCCTTTTTTTTCTTCTTTCTCTTTTCTAGACTGCTGTATATTGGACCGTTTCCATATTGACTTTCTTGCTTGTTCTTTAGCATGCATACATTCAGTACCATAAAGAATATGCTTATACAGAATATTCTTAAGTTATTATTTATAGGAAATAAACAACTTTGTATCTCCTATTTCTCTCTTTTTCTGTTCTCTTTGAAGAGATCGTTCTAAAGAAAACAGCAATAGATATTTGCCAAAGGAGACGTTCTATCTTTACAACCAAGTAACATCTATCTCATAATGGTGAGTGATGGAGGTTTTCTTTTCCCTCGTTTTAAAAGATAATAATTCAATAAGTTAATATAAATGTAATAGGCTGAAGAAGAACATGAATTTCAATTAAGTGAAGACCAAATTACTGAAATTCGCGATGCATTCAATATGTATGACCGAGATAGAAAAGGTGAAATTCCAACATCACTTCTTGGCACAGTCATGAAAAATCTTGGACACAATTTAAAACCTGATCAATTAGCTGAATGTGTCGATGCAGTTGATGGTGATGGTACGTTAGTTAAAATGAAGATTTTCTTTTGTTTCGGATGATATAATAAATTGTTCTTTGTTTTTGTATATAGGTAGTGGTACAGTTGATTTTGTATGTCGAGAAGAACAAGAAAAAATTCTCTAATAATCTTGTTGTTTGTTTTTATTTAGGATGAATTTCTTGCTTTAGTGGCCAAGATAACAAAAGAAGCTGAAGATGAACGAGAATTACGTGAAGTATTTCGTGTATTTGATAAGAACAGTCGTGGTGTCATCGACGTAAAATAATGAAAATAAAAATTGATTGTTTATTTTTATTAACAATGTTTTCTTTTTGTTTAGGTAGCAGATTTAAAAATGATTTTCAAGGCACTTGACCCCGACATGCCAGATGATGAAGTTGAGCAAATCATTTCGGAAGTCGATGAAGATGGTTCTGGTACTGTTGATTACGAAGGTTCGTATTTAATATTTTATTTTTGATAATTTTATTTATTATCAAATATTTATTATTTTTTTGCATAGAATTTTACAAATTAATGACAGGTTAAACAAATCAAATACTGCCATTAGCTTTACTTCGTTTTTATATTCTTGTCAACAATATTTTATTTTTTATTTTCGTCTTTTCTTTCTCCTTGTTCATTGTATTACACTGGTATATGTTTTTCTACAACTCTTTTATACAACATTGTGTGTCAACCTTTTCTCTCTCTCGCTTCTTTTTTAATTTCGTTTTCTAATAAGTTCTTCTTTGGTTATCAGAATAAAAGAAATATCAGAGCACTTTTCACGAACAATAAAAGAATGAATAATTTGACTTTTCTTTTGTTTCTGTATTTTGCCTTGAGAGAAGACAATGCATTAAAACAACAATTGAAACTTGTCGTTTTTTATCGTCAAAATGTTTTTGTGCTTGAAGAGACGCATGAACGTTAAGTGAAACTTTTCATTTTTTTTCCTTCTCTATTTCATTTTGGCTTCTATATTCAATTCGTTAAACGATGACGGCGATCACAACAATGAGAACAAAGTCTATTTTTTAATCAAACAAACAATTTTTGTCTGACTGTTGTTATTGTTTGAGTATAATATGAAAAAAAATGGAGACAAAAAAAAATAGTAGTCATGTTTTTTTCCATTACTTGACGCTGAAGCAAGCGAACCATTGTCATACAGCTTACACGTTTATTAAATTGCTGGAAAACGTTTGAGTGAATTGAAATGAGTTTTTGATTGAACAATATCGTAAAAAAGAAAACAATAATGACAGTCTTACCATTTCTTGACATTAAAGCTACACCAGTACGTTCACTCGAATCACCACGATTGTCACGAACAAAATCATTTCATAATGGATCTGAACTAAATGGACAACAACAACAACAACAACCATCCTTATCAAGACGCTATTCACGTAAATTATCTTCATCATCACCAATACGTAGTACAGTTCCATCGGCACACATACGTACACCAAAAATAAATATTGTTGCTCGATCAGATGAAATTTTAAAACAATTACCACATCCAAAAACAGCTAATGTACAAACATTGAATTCAATTTGGAAACCATTAGTTCGTGAACAACCTGATTATGATTATCTATGGGAGCCTGTACAACGTGAAGATATACGTCATCAATATGACTTTTATCTAGCACCGCGACGTATAATTGCTAGTCGACCTGATGAGCCATCGAAAATGACAACAATGTTTGAAACTCAAGATAGACATTATCATAATTATAAGCGAGTACAAGCTATGCAACAACGACAATGGAATCAACAACATATGCAATATACTATTTACCCATATTCATATACAGAAGAACGTGAAATGTACAAGTAAATATTAATTTTTTATTAATTTTTTTTTTTGTTATTTTTATTTATTCAATATCTACTCATTATATTAAGTAAACAAATTCGATCAACACTCAAAGAACAAATGGAACAAAAAGTTCAAGCAGACAAACTTGAATTGGAAATGAAAAATCGTGCAACTGAAGTCGTTATTGAACAAGATCGACAACATGTAGAACAAGAAAAACAGCGACAAATTGAACGAGCTAAATTTCTACTACAATTTACTGCTAAAAATAAAGAAGTTGGAAAAAAAATATTATTTTAGATATAAAATATAATGTCATATGTCTTATTTTAGTTAATGGAAAATAAATGGGAATATAATCAATGGAATCGTGTGCACCAATGGCATGTGGAACGAGCTGTTTTAGCCGATACTCCGATCAATTGGAGTAAAACAATGACTTAAAAGAATCCCTTTGAAATTTACAGTGGGATCTACGATAAAAAAAAAGACTTCTTTTTTTTGGAATATTTTTTCTTTTCTTTAATATTTATGGAATTTTGTTTATTAGATTCTTTTGTTCTGCTCACTGTTGCTATAGAACAGAAGTTGCAGTTGCCAAGACAAAGAAAATAGTCAAGATTGTGTATGATCAGAATTGGCAACTATCTAATCAGACAGTGATATAAATCCATTTTACTAATTAAGTTTTATCTTATAATTGAGAAATATGACTTTATCATATACAAAAAAAAAACAAACTTGCATAAATAGATAAATTTAGGCGCCATTGTTTTCGTATTTGTATAAGATGAAACATTACTATTGAATATAAATATACTAGATGATTAGTCTATCAAGCAGTAAATTAACTTTTGACGCATCAAAAAGTAAATTATAGAAAATCAATATTATTTCATTGACTCCAGTTTCTTATCATAGTTCATTAAAAATGTACATAAATCAATCAAGAAATAATGAATGTAATCAGTCTAATCCATCAATACAATTGCTCAATAATCAATATTCAACAAATATATGTCGAACAAATACTTTGCCTTCGTATCTGGTGAATAGCAATCAAAATACAATCGTCAATTTTGCTGTAGATAATTATTCTCTATTTTCTATAAATATATTCTACTTTAAATGTAGACAGACTCATCAAATAGATGCAACTTTTTGAAAAATCTTAATCCAATTAAAATACCACCATTGTTTACGAGTGCAAAAGCACCTCTCTACACTCGTTATACACCTAAAGATTGGTCGAATTTTGAATGTAATCAATTTATAGCCGCTAATGGAATTTTAAATGATACTAAAAAACTACATCAAGAAAGTGAATATTTAGCTCGTGAGATTGATGAACAAGTATGTAAAAATCAATGGAAATCAACGAATGAAATTGCAATGTATGAATATTTAATTAATGATTAATAATAAAGAAAAAGAAATATTTGTTTTCCTTTTTTCTTCTTTTGTACTCAGTATCAAACAAGAAATCTGTTTTTGGAAAAATGAAATTAAAAATTTACGTCAAAAATTACATAACACTATTAACGAACTTGAATTAAAACGACAACAAATAGAACATTTTCTCAATCGTATAAAACTAGGACTTAAAATAGTTCAAGAAAATTTATATGAACGTGAAAAACGTCAAATTATTGATCTTATTCATGATAATGTAAATCGTGAATTAATAAAATTAATCGATATTTTTATTGATGCAAAAAACTCTATTGACAATGGTATAGTTGAAAAAATAAATAAAAAAATTTATTTACATCGAGAAAGATCATGTCAACTTGAAATCGAAGCAAATGAAAAATTTTATTCTCTAATATTAGAAAATGCTGCACTTTATTTAACTAATTCTTTACCAAGTTTTAATAATTGTAAAAACAGTGCATCAGGTTAGAACATTTATTTTATGAAAACAAAAAAAAATATACCGGGTGTGGCCAATAGTTTTGCAACATTTTTGTTTTGCATGTAACTCTGTGCAGGAACTTGATAAAACATTGATCGTCTTTTTTTTAAAAGATGCGCCTATTGAATGTTCTACTTGGATCATCAGACCGAATCTTTATAGCTATTTTAGAAATTGTAATAGATTGCTAACACTAAATACGTGCAGCATCATATTATTTCCTACACGAAAAAGTAAGAGAAAGCCGAAAATTATTACATAATTTTATTCATTCATTTTGACTACAATGTTTGAAATCAATCAGAAGCCTAATGTGACCTTCGAAACATGACAAATATAAGACTATCTCATCTCAAATACAAGTGAAAAATTACGTCTGTGTCAATTGATCTGAATGCTTTCCCCTGAAATAAAACTTTTTTTGCTATGTTGCTCTCAAATACATTGTCAAGAGAACAGTGAATTCGATGCACAAATCGCTAGATTAATCTTCGTTAGCTATTGAAAGAAATAGTTAAAAAGAGTTAAGTTTAACAAAATAATACAATGAAAATTTGTCTTTAACTAAAGATGATGAAAATACGTTGAAGAGACATCAGTAATGATCTGGTAGGAAGACATGGAACCAGTCTGGATTTTTCAGAACTGTACCGGTACCGGTTCCATCTCTTATCATAGGAAATATTGTTGGAATGATGAATGTTTTGGTTTTTTTTTGCAGAACCTAGAACAGTTCATTGAATCTAGTATTGATTAGATTCAAAATGACTGTAGTTACCAATCATAAAGTGAACTGAGGCAGGTTTTTTTTCTTATGGGAAATAATACGATGACACATGTGTTCAGTCTTAGCAATCTATTAAAGTTTTGAAAATAAAGATTTGATCTTATGATTCAAGTAGAAAACTCAATGGCGCATCTTTTACAAAAAAGATTATCAACGTTTTCTCACACCCGATATATTATATTTCTCATTTTTGATACAGAAGATATCACCTATTTAAATTGGTTGAAGCGTACGAAGATTTTTATTGAACAAACTTATTGTGAAATTCGAACTTCAAATGAATTGATTCATTCAGTAAAAAACATTCCTCATATTGAACAAAATATTCTTAATCAATGGCAAACTGTTGCTATAGTATTGGAACAACGTATTCATGAAATAAAATGCATTCGTAATCGTTTACAAGATCAAATTAATGAAATTAATGAAAATATTTTAAATACAGATAAAACAATTGAATTTTTGAAAAAAACAATTCAAGATAAAGAAATTTTTATTAATATAATTCAATGTCGAATATCTTTTCTTTCTATGAGACCAGTATTAGAAAATATAAATGATCGTGAATATTCAAAACTTTCTCAAGAATTTAATAATTTGCAATATTCAATTGATAATTTACAAAAAAATTTATTTGAAGAAGAATATGCTTTACAACATTTATTTCGTCTTAAAACAACGATTGAAGAAAATTTAGCTATTAAAAATAATTCATTATTTATTGATGAACAAAAAGTTATTGGTTTACGACGTACTTTTTCATTCACTTCATAACATCAAATATAAAATTATTCTATCATCACAAGGATCAAATAAAAAGCTCAAACACCATTTTATTTTATCAATATTGATATTTTTAGTTTAAATTCAATCATACGAATTTCATTTTATTCATTGAAATATATAATTGTCTGTATGTTCAATTGACCATATTTGCAATAAAACAGTATATTACATCGTATGATAAAACATCGGAATCTTATCATATTTATATTATAGAATGTGCCATCACTTACTATTATTTTACATTAGTTAATTAGATTATAAAACTATCTCTTTCCTGAATAGTTCGGTGTTCTTAGTTGCTACATCTAGTTTTATATTTTGATAAAATTAGAATTTTTCTCTGTCTCAATTCAGTAAAATACTTTTATTGCATTCTTATGATTACATGCAACACGTTACTTCTTATTTAGAATAATCTTTGAATAATCATCGTGAATGCTGCTTGAAGTGATGCTAAAATAAACTAAACTCCTCCCTACAATAGCAGACTCCACCATAATAGAAGACTCTTGTTAATTAATTAATTTTTCGCAAAATTGGAATTTTAATCCGTATATTTATATTAAAATGTGCCAAGTTTTCAGAATATGGAGCTGAAAAATCCTAAAAGACTGAGGTTAACACTATTTCGGTGTTTTTAATATTTTCAAAATCTCTTTTCGAATCTTCGAAATTGGTTTGGTTTTTAGAAAAAACTTTTTAATTAAAAATTATAAAAATAGATGAGACACAAAACAAGGCTTTCTCTGAGAAATAATAAATCATTGCATTAGTGTTTCTGTCATCCGTGCTCGATAAATTGAAAACATATGTTTTCGGATATGGTAAAACCTACGTAGTTATTCATGGTAGTTTAAGTCGAACAACGAAATGAGAAATTGAAGAATAGTTTGCTTTTGATGAATCTACAATTGAACAAATGTTCGAGCCTAGAACAACAACGCAATATATTGTTTTTTGTCTGATATTGCATTTTCTATGATATTATTTTAATAACAATCTAATTTAGTTGATTACTTGACTAATTCGTTAAAATAATATATATGCCATTTATTATTGTTCACATATAGATGCAATACTACATATAAACGACTTATAATAAATAATACGTATCGATAATAAATTAGATGAGTGTTAAAGAGATTTTTTTTATTACTTTCTGGTACAAATATCTTCGATTTCTATCTTTCACATTTTTCACAATATCATCATCTGATTCTAGAATTTAAGAGATATTAAATAAACAATAAAATAGATTTTAAATTATCAATATCATCAAAATTTCTATTGAAACTTTCATCATTCTGATAGATATGTTTTTTTTTGTTAAACATAAAATAGCTATCTTCAATAAATCATCTATCGAATAGATGTAAAATAATTAAGTTAAATTGTTATACTATAAAACTGTGACAACAAATACGAAAAAAACAAATCAGATTAATTGAACAATATAAAATAAGAATCAACTTTTTATTCCAATGAATAAATGAATGATACCATATGATTCCTTGTTCAACACCTTACAATTATTTAATGGAGCCAATAAATCATTATTTGCTGTCATTTCGAGTATATCATTCCATCTGCTCTCATATTTGTTCACTTTTTGTATACAACACAGAAAAATGCTAAGAAAAGCAATTAATTCAGAGTCACTTTTTTTTCTTATTACATCCATAAATGTATTCGATCTTTCTTTTCTCGTTTATTCGTCACTTTTTAGAATCTTTTATTGTTCCATGATGAACAAATTAAGAACATAGAGTGAAAACACGAAAAATGCAAACATTGCTATTGATTATTACATTATAATTGACATAAAAATCTCTCACAATGCGATTGCGTCGAGGAACACTGTTTCAATCGATTCCAGCTATTGATCCACGTTTACTTCAAGATAAGCAACATCATTTGTCAGTAAGTTATTCGATTGCCATCTGTTTATAGAAGACGGATAACAATGTATCAAACAATCTTCAATAATAATATTTAATAAATAAAACAGAGACTTGTTGTTAAACTTTTGGTTCTCCGTTTTCGAGGTCATAAGATATCATCAGTGTCCTTACAATAAAATGAAAAGATCAGTTGATCATGATTGTCAGATGTCGTCATCCGATTAAGTATGTACTTATACTTGTATTCAAATCGATATATATATATATATATATACAAAGAGAGAAAAGTATACAAGCAACAAAAAAAGTATAAGAAAAGAATAAGTACTCTTGTCGGATACTTTATGTTAGAACAACATTGTACGATTCGGACGTGCTCGACTAAAATCAATCAAGTGTGTGAATCCACATAAGCATATGTAACGATGAGAAATAAATAAAGTAGATTAATTAGTGAATGTATTATGTGAATCATAATGATGGAACGAAAAATATACTTTGCATAGATATTCAACTGACCCGATAAAAAAAGCATTTGGGTTGAATAGAATTCCTAAATAAACAATAGGATCAGTCATGAATAATATGTAATATGGAGGTGAGAATGACTTCTCTACTGATACATGATGGAAACATTTTTCTATTTTTTTATACTGATAATCCCATTATGAAAAAAAGAAAAAAAAATAGGGAAAAGAAATTACATATTCATAGATACAATGGGTATATGTTTAACATAATAGCTTCAACAGACATGTTTTTATCTATGCCATTAGTATATGCAAAAACAGTAACATTCGATAAAGCCAGTCAGACGACCTGCTGTACATGGATACTTCATTTTTGTTCTCAGTTTGGTATATATTGAAAAAGAAGTATTATAAAATTTAATTATACGTTGTCAATGGCGTCATGGCTAGAAAAATATCAAAATATCGCTCACGTTATAAGAATGCAAAAGTAAGACATTTTCTTCCTAATCAATATGATGTAATCTGTTCTCATTATCTTCTTGTTTGCACAAATCATGTCTAATATCTATTCTCTTCTTTCTTCTTGTTGGACATTATTCTGATATTGATTGATTTAGCTGATATCGCTTGAACATTTCTAGTTGATAATAACAAGAAAAAAAACAAAAGTTTAATTTGTTTTCTTTTCTAGTGGATTATGTCCGAATTTGTTGCCATTACAGCGGCAGCAGCTGCTCGAATATTATTTGCTATTCATGGTATTGCAGCAATATGGCGAGTAGCATTAGTATATAAACAAAACAAATATTGGTTTCAAGCTATCACGTAGGAAATTTAAAAAAAAAATTGTTTTTAAGTTAATCTTTTTCTTGTTCTTCTATTTATTAAGTCTTTTTGGTATCCCGGCTGAATTTTTCGTTACACTCTATGTTAATAATGGTCACGAATGGAAATGGTAATCATGGATTAAATATGTTAATCTTATTCATCAGTATTTTATCAATTCTAGGTTTTGTCCATCTGTATTCTTTTATTTATGTACAGTTATACCAAGTGTATGGTTCCTTGAGCTTGATCTTGCTGAAAGACGATCAAAATTTAATGTAACACAAGCACTTGGTTTAATCCCTATATCACAAGGAAATCCTAATATTGATACTGAAGATACATTACCAGTAAAATATAAAACATCATTATCGCATTTCCTTTTTTTATGATAATTAATACATTGTATTATTTTCTAAAATAGCTTGTTCCATGGAAAATTCCAGCTGAAATGTGGACACAAATTGTTGAACAAACACTTCTTCTTGTTCTTATTATTGGACGTTGGTTATTACCTGTCGGAAAAACAATGACACGTGATCAACTTTCTCAATTATTACTTGTGTATATTGGTACAGCAGGTAAAGTTGTTTTTGTTATTTGTTTCGTTAGTTTTCATTTATTTTAAACAGCGGATATAATTGAATTATTTGAAGCATTTAAAGAACATGATGTTCAACGTAATTTAACTATAATACATCTGATTTTAACAGCTTGGTCAATAAGTTTAATGCAATTTACACTTGTAGTTACATCAACAAAAACACGTAAAAAACGTACAAAACGTTTTGGACAAATAGATTCTACAGAAATTGAAACATGTTTTGGTTGTCGATTATTTTGGGAAACTGAATTATGGGTAAAATATATTTTTCTTGTTTCTCTTTAAAAAAATGATCTTAATTAATATAATTATCTATTAGGCTCTTTCAACTACAATTCTTTTACAAGATGGTCCATTTCTTTGTCTTCGTCTTGGTTTAATAATTCATTATAAAATAATTTCCCAATCAAATGTATTTTTTACAACAAAGAATTTTCTTGTTGTTCTATTACAATTTTATCGAGTTTGTGTTATTATAATTGAACATCGAAAACGACATTTATTAGCACGTTTAAATGATACTAATTCAATAAATCAAAAATCTAATCATTTACCTGTTGTACCACGAAAATCCTCTATAGCACGTAAAAAACGAATTGGCTCTATAATAACAACACCAAGGGGTAGTATACTTTTACAATCAAATTCAATGACAAATCTTCGTCCCATTAGTATTAATGGTGATCGTGTTAGTTTAGATGGAAATTCAGATCCATTACCAAGACGAAAACGTTCATCGGCGGTAATTATAAATCCGTCATCATTTCTATCGGCAAGATCAACAATGTCACATTCCAAATCATTGACAATTGTAGAACAACCAAATATTAGTTTGACTAATCATAAAATATGTACAGAAGTGTAAAACAATACATCCACGTGTGTTTTTTTTTCTTTTATAACCTTGGCCTATAAAGCCTCTTTTTTTTCTCGTTTTTTTTTTCTCTTGTCTTTCTTGCTATATGTATGTGATTGTGTATATGGATGAAGATCGATTATGATCGGCATGAGATTTGAGTGAATGAATTGAGTGAGTCAAGTAAGAACTAATCTTCTTTGAGTGGTGGTTACGTAGCGATTTATGTATATTGAACAAGAATAAGAAAGAATTCATCTTTCTTCTATGGGAGAAGATGATGACGAAGGAAAGGAAGAAAGAGAAAGAATATAATCGATTAAATAGAAAGAATGTCACATATAATCATGTATACGATGCATGTACAAATGTAGTAGTCAATATCATTTTTCAAAATTTATATCCTACAGCTATTTATTCTTCCCATCGATTAAACGATTTTTATATAGTTCAGTTCAACTTGAATATTAAGGAGATTGAATATTATTCTATTTCTTTTTGACAAAGATACAAATATAACGACGTGAATAAAAATCTTAACCTACGAACAACAAAAACTTTCGACAAAGTAAATATCAAATAAAAATATACCAAGGATTGTTATTTTGCTTTTCTTGTTCTTTTTTTTAGATTCATCGTGTCTTTATTCATTATGTGTAAGGTATACTCAATCGATGTCGACTTCAGCCAGTGATAATCAACTATTTAATGGGCAGTTTAATGCTCAAATATTTGCAGCTATATTTGTTCCAGCTATATTTTTATTTATAATTATCTTAACAATGCTTGTCTTTCTTATATATCGTCAACCGTCTGATTATGATAGTTATATAATTAATAATGAAAATGAACGTAATGATAATAATAAATCAGAGTGTAAATTCGAAATATTATCTCGAACACCAACTAATTATGCATAGAAAATTTTCTCTTTATTGGTGTTCTTTTTTTTGTCTTCCTTGTTTTGTAACTTTGATTTCCGTTTTTAATTGCATTTTACTTAAAGAAAAAAAACCTGAGAAAAATGAAATATATTACATATGTCCGCCCCTGCCAATACTTGAAATGCTTCGCACATTCACACATGTATGCTCCTAATGGCATTTCTATGCACATTGCATTGTCCAACACTTTTTCTTTCTATATAACGATCAATCAACATGTTCTCATCGAACAAAATTTTTTTTGTAAAAAGAAAAAAAAACAACAGTTACAAGAAAAAAGAAACGTCATTCAATATAAATCATAAAAAAAAGATTGAAGTTAATTGAAAAAAATAATCATACTGCTGTTTCTTGCTTGTTGACAGGAACTATTGAAAGGAAAGGAAAAGTGTATGTCGACAGAAACAATATTTCGACACTTGGGCAGACTTAACGAATCTCATACGGGTGTCGGACCCGGTAAGCCACGTGAAGAATACTTGAAATTATTTTCCCGGTAAATAATATATTCAATTTCTTTTTTCTTTTTTTTTGCGTCTCATTTTCACACATAATCAGTAGCAACCTTATATTTACATCATAATAATAATAATATATAGAGCAAGCTACTCAACACAGAACGAGTGGCCTTATTCCAGTCCGTTTGCTGGCTTCTATGATGTATCAAACACAAGTACAGGTTTAATTTTACTTAATCAACGATATAAATTTGTACGAAAAGATAATATATAAATTATGATAATTCTATTTTTTTTGTTGTTTTTTTTTTATTTAATCTTTAGTCACATTTACGTGGGAAAATTTTACCGAAAGAAGCTACACGTCCGTCTGAAGAAGATTATAAAACACTGTACGAAGCTATTCTTGAATCCGAACAAGAACCAAAATCAAAACATTCACAGTTTGTTAATAATTATAAATAAATATTTGTTTGAGAAACAAGGTTAAAAAAAATCTTTTTATAGTAAACTTCTTTTACCAAGAATACCGGTTGATCCTTATCGACATTTTGAAAGTATGTTTACAGTTATCGTTCGATCTTGTTTGCTGTTGGTCTTTGTTTTTTCTTCTTTTTTTACACTATTCAGGGTCAAAACAAATATTGGCATAATCGTATGTGCAAAGGTTCATTTTCAGTTGACAATACAGCAGATCAGCCTACCATTGAAGCAGATATGACGCTACGATCACGTTAGTATCATTTTCTTTTATATAAAATATTAAAGTTTTTTTGGTATTAAGGTCGACCACAAACAGCTAGATCATTCCACACAAAACGAAATCGTTCATTATCAGCTAATCGTCGTTCTCAATCTGTTTCAGGAACTCATGATAAACTTATTAATGAATGCCAAACTGATCCAACATTTGCTGAATCACTTTGGCAATACTATCGTTATGTTGTAGAAAAATCTCAACGACCTAAACTTGGTTTACAACAATTTCATATTAAAGAACCATCAAGTAGACGTTTGAGACAAAGTGGAATTTATCGTAATCCAGCATTAACACATGGCCAAAAATTATATTTATTAGAAAAATGTCATGTAAATAAAAGAGAAGAAGATTATTTTGTTTTTATTATTTTATGAAAATTTTAGATTTATGATATGGAAGATACAAAAACGCGGCATACAAATGCTTGTGTACAAGTTTTAACTAGACGTTTTAATGCAGGTATATTAATGAATTATTTATTTAATTTATCTAAATCAATAGAATACCATAGATTTACCTGCATATAAACTTGGTAAGAAAGAAAGTTTCTTTGGATTTATATAAGCACCAGAGTTTTCACTTTATTTGCGTTGTTTTTTTTTTGTTATACACTGGAATGTTCTTTGTTTCTTTGTGTTGTGATTCTTTATTATAGATTCACTATGCAAACCAGAATTTCGTAAGTAAACTAACGGAATGAATAAAATATATTAAAGAAAGAAAAGAAAATTCAAAATTAGAATTTTAATTTTGTTTTTTTTTTAATCTTCTTTAGGTTTAAATGACCCAAGAGATTATTTTAACTATGCAAAATTTTTGAAAACTCCTCGTCCAACAGCTCGTTCATTGAATACAGGTTATTTTACTAATAAAAAACCTCATCATCCTCGTATACCCAGTAATCATAAAAAACAACAAATCGATATTCGGTAATAAAAAGAAATTTATTAAAAAGAAAAAAAAAACAATATCATGTGTTTGATTGTTTAGTTCAAATAATTTTCTTGATAAAAAAGATTTTGCTATACGATCTACTTCATCGTTGACAAATAAAAAATTATCTAAAGACAATAGTTCGAATCCATCTCAACGTATAAGTGCAACATCATTCTCAACTAATAATGAAAATATTATTAGTGTTAATCTTCGTCACGAACCAAAACAAATACCAAAAATTCCTCTTGTATCATCACAATCACACGATTAAAAATAGCAACACTTAACATGCTCCTCTTTTCAAAGTTTTTATTCATAAATAAGAAATAAATTTAATTCATATATTCGATTTATTGTAAAAAATTAATCAAAGATGAAGTATTTTGTTACAATAAACTTTAAACAAGTATATTCTTGGTAAAAGATTTCACAGCGATAAAGAATCTTTAAAAATGTTTAAGATTTATTTGAACTTATATTTTTATTAATGATATCTATGAATGCAATCTTTCGAACGAGTATTTATCGTAATAAAATTTACAAAATAACATGCCTCAGTCATGAAACATTTCCCCAACGAAATTTTATAACTCGATGCTTATGCATTTTTGAAAGAATTCTTATGAATTTGTTAATTAAATGATATCATCGATTGATTTATTATTAGAAGTATACGAGACTTCTAATCCTTTT